TAGACCCTCCGTCCTTAGACCCTCCGTCCTTAGACCCTCTGTCCTTAGACCCTCACATCGTACAAGGAAACACTTCCGGAGAAAACCCACAGTTTAAAGGGAACATGGGAGAAACCTCAGGGAGAGCAACAGAGGAGGGATCCCTCTCCCAGGACGGACAGACGTGCAATAGATGCCGTGTGTAAATTGAAAAGATAATACATTTGCAACATAGGTAGTCCAAATGTTTGGAAATGCATGTGTGTATAATAGGAAGACGAATCCACGAGGATATCCATCCAGGACCTATGATCCAGGACCACAGCCACGACTCAAGATCCAGGGCTCGCGATGCAGGACACAGGACACAGGATCATCCATGACTCCGTATCCCAGCGTATATAGACACCAAAAAGAAAGAAATATGGGGAAGCTGGGTTAATGGGAACATGAGAGTACACAGGTATAGACAGAGAGAAGGAAGAAGTAAGATGTCCCCCGACAAACTAAGCCTATATCAGCAAAACTAGGGGCTGAATCTAATCAGCCCTAACTATAAGCTTTATCAAAAAGGAAGGTCTTAAGCGCATTCTTAAAAACGGATAGGGTGTCTGCCGCCCGAACACAAACTGGAAGCTGATTCCACAAATGTGGAGCTTGATAAGAAAAGGCTCTGGCTCCCATTGTACTTTTAGAGACTCTAGGAACAACCAACAACCCTGCATTCTTGGAACGCAATGCCCTAGTAGGACAGTAGGGTATAATGAGTTCTTTAAGGTAAGATGGCGCCTGCCCATTAAGGGCTTTGTAGGCGAGAAGAAGAATTTTAAATTCTATCCTGTGTTCTATAGAGCCAGTGTAAGGCAGCCAGAACAGGAGTAATGTGGTCCCTTTTCCTAACTCTGGTTAGTACACGAGCTGCAGCATTTTGAATCAGCTGAAGCGCCTTGACTGACTTCTTGGTACACCCTGATAATAAAGAGTTACAATAATCCAGCCTTGAAGTAATAAATGCATGGACTAGTTTCTCTGCATCGTTTTGAGGCAAGATATGCCTGATTTTTGCAATGTTACGTAGATGGAAGTAGGCGGTCCTTGAAATTGATTTTATGTGGGCGTTAAAGGATAAATCCTGATCAAATATAACACCAAGATTCCTTACAGTCTCACTGGAGGCCAAATTAATGCCATCCATAGTTAGTATATCTTTAGATAATTTGTTTCGTAGATTCTTCGGGCCAAGTACAATAACTTCAGTTTTGGTCGTGTATAACATCAAAAAGTTTAAGGTCATCCACGTTTTTAAGTCCTTAAGGCAGTCTTGAATTTTATTTAGATGATTAATTTCATCAGGCTTGATTGATAAATATAGTTGAGTATCATCCGCATAACAATGAAAGTTTACAGAATGATTCCTTATAATATTGCCTAACGGAAGCATATATAATGTGAACAAAATAGGTCCGAGCACTGAGCCCTGTGGCACTCCATGGCTAACTTTGGTTTGCGTGGAAGATTCATCATTGACACGTACAAACTGAGAGCGTTCAGATAGATAGGACCTAAACCAGCCTAAAGCAGTTCCCTGTATGCCAACTAAGTGCTCTAGTCTTTGCAATAAGATATCATGGTCGATAGTATCAAATGCAGCACTGAGATCGAGCAAAACAAGAATAGAGACACGTCCCTTGTCAGAGGCTATTAGAATGTCATTTGTGACTTTAACCAGAGCTGTCTCTGTGCTATGATGTGTTCTAAAGCCAGACTGAAAAGCTTCAAATAAATCATTGTTTTTTAAGTAATCACACAACTGTTTTGCGACCGCTTTCTCAAGAATCTTTGAGAGGAACGGAAGATTAGAAATAGGTCTATAATTGGCTAAAACCTCTGGATCGAGGTTGTGCTTTTTAAGAAGAGGTTTTATCACTGCTACTTTGAATGATTGTGGAACATAGCCTGATAATAAAGACATATTCATAATATTTAATAAAGAAGGGCTAATTAATGGAAAAACTTCCTTCAACAGCTTAGTTGGAATTGGGTCTAACATACACGTTGATGGTTTAGAAGAGAGAATCATTGAATTTAATTGTTCAAGGTTTATGGCTGAAAAGCATTCTAGTTTACTATCTAGTGTAATATTAGAACTTACGTTTCCGGGAGCTGTTGATAACACTATACTGGTCAAAGGCAAGAGGTCATTAATTTTGTTTCTCAGAGTAACAATTTTATCGTTAAAAAAGCACATAAAATCATTACTACTGAGTGCTATGGGAATAGAAGGCTCAATCGAGCTGTGGCTCTCTGTCAGCCTGGCTACAGTGCTGAAAAGAAATCTTGCATTATTCTTATTCTCATCTATTAATGAAGAGTAGTAGGCTGCTCTCGCTTTACGCAGTGCTTTCTTATATTCATTGAGAGTAATATGCCAAATTAAATGAGATTCTTCAAGTTTAGTGGAACGCCATATCCTTTCAAGTTGTCTCGACTTTTGCTTTATTATGCGGGTTTCGGCATTATGCCATGGAGCTAATCTATGTTGTTTTATTTTCTTCTTTTTCAAAGGAGCAACAGAGTCTAATTTTATTCGCAGCGCATCTGTGGCACTATCAACAACATGATCAATTTGGGGTGGTGTACATTTTGTATAAGTTTCCTCCCTTACATGCAGACATGCTATCGAGTTAAGTATTGGTGGAATCTCTTCCTTACATTTAGCTATAGCACTAACAGATAGGTTTCTGCTGCAGGAGCTTTTGACTAATGCTTTGTAGTCTCGTAACAGTACTTCAAAAGTTACTAAGAAATGGTCGGATAAAGCAGGATTATGCGGTTTGACTAATAGTTGCTCAATTTCAATACCATAAGTCAGAACAAGGTCGAGAGTGTGATTATAGCAGTGGGTTGGTTTATTTACACTCTGACAGAAACCAACAGAATCTAATATAGAGTTAAATGCAACAGTAAGGCTATTTTTATCATCGTCAACATGAATATTAAAGTCACCTACGATAATTACTTTATCTGTTTTAAGAACCAAAGTTGATAAAAACTCAGAGGATTCTGATAATAATTCTGAATAAGGACCTGGTGCACGGTACACTGTAACAAATAAGATTGGCTGCAAAGTTTTCCAGGTCGGATGCGTAAGACTAAAAACGAGACTTTCAAAGGAGGTATAATTTAATTTTGGTTTAGTATTGATAAGTAAACTTGAGTCAAAGATTGCTGCAACTCCACCTCCTCGGCCCGTGCCTCGGGCAATATGAGTATTGATATGGCTGGGTGGAGTGGCCTCATTTATGCTGACATATTCTTCATGTCTCAACCAAGTTTCAGTGAGACAGCATATATCAATATTATAATCTGATATTAAATCATTTACCAATATTGCTTTAGATGCTAGAGATCTTATGTTTAAGAGACCACATTTAATCTTCCTGTTTTGTTGCACTGTAGTAGTTGTTACATTTACTTTTATTAGGTTATTATGTATGACACCTCTATTAGGTTTTACCTTAACTTGTCCTTGGGCAGACACACACACCGCTAATATTGGGTATTTTATTGGGTTCGGGATTCCTATGGATGACTGCCTAGGAGAGAGCGCAGAGAAGCGTGTAAGACTGCGACATCTGAATTTACTCTGACACAGAAACATCTATATTGATTCTGAGACTTCTACATCCAACTCACAGATGTAACCTTGCTTTGATAAAATAAATTATTCATATAACCCTTTTAGAAGTTAAGTTATAGTCATTTGTTTTGGGCATAGCATTTTCGAGCCTGAAACCTGAAAAACAGGCTCAGGGCTTAAGAGGTTAATTATGTGCCTTTAACTATTGCCTGCCCAATAATGGTTTCTGGCTAAGTCTAGTACAAAAGAGGATAAGGGCAAAATGGGAACCGTTTTAAACATCGGACCAAATGTGATTTTTTTTTGTTTTACTGAGAATAAAGTCAGAATTCTGAGAAAAAAAAAATCTAATTTCTGATATTAAACTCAGAATTCAGAATTTAAAGAATGCTAGTGACACGGAAGCGGGTAAGGGACACATGTGAATTTTATTTTGGACACGACCAAAACTTTATATTTTTGGGGTTTCTGAGAGTAAGGTCAGAATCCTGAGAAAAAGTATAAATTCAAATGTTAAAATCTGAATTCTGAGAAAAAAGACAGTATTGGAAGACAAACTTAGAATTTTGAGATCTCCCAACAATGGTAATGTTTAGGTGGATTAAGGAACTTCCCCTGGATTCTATTAGGCTCTAACGGTTACAAAGAGGTGTCAATCACCCAAATCGACCAATGGGTTCTATACAGTAGATACGGCAAATGTACCCAGAGGTGTTTTCTTTTTTCTAAACCTCTCTAAAAAGGTCATATCTCACTTGTTTTGCATCAATCGTGATACAGGGTACTTATTATATGTTATAGTTTGGATTCCTAAAGCTTTTTGTCTACTATCCCATCATTCAAGGGTGGTTTTCACTATAAGTAATGGGTTTTTAGACATAAACTATAATTTACCTTTTTTTACCATGTTCAATCTGAAGTTACATTAAAAATAAAAACATCCATATTGACTCTGACACTTCTACAGCCAACTCACAGCTGTATCATTGCTTTTAGAAAAAATATTATTAATGTAACCCTTTTAGAAGGGAAGATATGGCCATTTGTTCTGGGAATGTCATTTTCGAGCCTGAAACCTGAAAAACAGGCTCAGGGCTTAACAGGTTAATATATGAATGATCCATTGCCCCTTCCCCACACACACGGTAGGTCCTGCTCTGAATCTGAATCACACACACACACACACACACACACACACACACACACACACACACACACACACACACACACACACACACACACACACACACACACACACACACACACACACACAACACACACACCACACACACACACACACACACACACACACACACACACACACACACACACACACACACACACACACACACACACACACACACACACACACACACACACACACTTCATTCTTGAAAGCAACCCAGCAACATTTAAAGATGCAGTGCAGACCTATGTAGAACTTCCACAGCTACTGGGAACAAAGGGAGAGAAAGATGTGCCAGTGAAGGTCTGGCTGATGCCACTGAAACTGTTTGAACCTGCAGCTACTGGGGTGAGGACAGATATCAGCATTGAGTTAGTGAGGAAGGCGCAGGAAGCTCTGGAGAAGTTAAGGGAGGCAAAAATGAGATGCAACGATTCTCTGGAAGACAAAGTGGTAGAGAGTTTCCCCGTGCTTCAGGAAGAGTTGAGCACTTTCCTCAAACTGTGTGGTTATTATAAAACCAACATGCAGCAAGCCATGGCAGAGAAACTTCCCTCCATCCGTGAAGGAAAGGAAGATGAGAGCTCACTGGAAAAAGTCTTTGAAGACAGGCACAAGTCACCCTTCAACCATGAAAAACTAAACAAGTGGCTGGATCACAAAGAGAGAGAACTCAACATCATCAAGTCCTTTGTCGACACCATGGAGGGAGTAAAGATCGTCCTGAACCAGAACGAGCTGGACAAAGAGGTCCTTGCTTCAGGTGTAGATGATGTTCTGTGCTTTGTTTTCACCTCCATGCTAAAGGGTGATATCTACCTTGATGAGATGGCTGACTTCTTGAAATCACCCAAGTTAGGAAGTACCCATGAAGAGGAGTGGTACTACTCCGATGAAGTTCTGAAATCAATGAGAGAAAAAGCCACATTTCTCCAGGGTGCTTCCAAAGGGCTGAAGAACAACAGCAAATTCCGTTTCCTTATAACGGCCAAAACCAATCCCAAATACAAAGGAGCAAGCATCTACCACTACAAGAAAGGCCATCTGGTCAATGAAGACTTTCAAAAGCCTTCTTCTGTGGAGACCATCACACACAAGAGAGATCTGATCTGGTCAGGCTTTTTTTGAGTCAAAGATATGAGTTCTCCAGCAGTTTGACCATCAAAGTTACTGATAAGATACATTGTTATGTTTTCTCCATCAGATGCCTGTGATCTCCACCTGGACCCAAACACTGCCCACAACCGTCTCACTCTGTCTGATGGAAACAAAAAGGCAACACATGGAGCATCACAGAATTATCCTCCTCATCCAGAGAGGTTTGGAAACACATGCGCACAGGTGTTGTGCAAAGAGGAGTTATCTGGGTGCCATTACTGGGAGGTCGAGTGGAGCACCAGTGACAGGGAGTCTGTTTATGCTGCTGTTGCATTCAAAGAAAAAGCTTCGTTTTTGTTTTGTTTGATCCAGCATGCTGGTGTTTCAGCAATGAAACCAATCTTAAGGCATTGCATGTCAATGAGCTGGTGTGGGAAGCACCCCTTGGTGACTTCAATAGATTTGGGGTGTATCTGGACTGGCCTGCTGGCACTTTGTCCTTCTACGGAGTCTCCGGCAACACACTGAGTCCCCTGTACACCTTTCACACCACATTCACTGCGCCTCTTCTCCCAGGCCTCTGCGCTGGTTATGATTCCAACTATGCCTACCTGTGTCCAGTTGAATTGTAAATTAACTGGATTCATACAGCGCCTTTCCAGTCTTTACGACCCATCAAAGCGCTTTTACATTGGCAGCCATTCACACACATTCATAGAGGCAGAGGCTGTCACACACGTGCTCATAGCCTAACGTTCACACACATCTACACACAGTCGGCCATTCTTGGTCTGCCTAAAGTTTAAAATGGAAACCTATAACATCCCAATTTAACTTAAACTTGCTTCACAAAATAAAATTGCAATCAAACCCAAAGGGACGCGAATGTTTTATTATTGCTTTCAACAATTTAGCTTGTATGATGAAGCATTCTGGGGAGTGGTCTTCACTGTACTCTGGGTAGAGTTCCCATTCATTAACATTGTGTGCAGTTATTGTCTGGTGTGAAGCGGGTACACCTGTTGAACACCTGAGAGGTCAACATGTCCCAACTCCTCCCACTAAGGCAATGATGAAGAACTCTTAGCTTCTTGGTCGCTCTAACGTTTGAAATGGCAACCTAACATCCCATTCTAACTTTAACGTGCTCCACAGAATCAAACATTCATTCAAACCCAGAGGGACCAGAACAAACGAGGATATCAAAAAGTGATTTATTTATCAGTAAATGTTGATTTCATCATCTTCTCAAACTGTTTAAAGTCGATGCTTTACGAACAGTTGAACAATATTTCTTCATAGGAACTTTCTATCGTAGTAACATATACTCAAGCATTATATATCCGGCAATCGCTCTGTCAAAACTGATGTTGAAATACAATATAAACATAATGGGGAACAATAGTTGCTTATTCTGTTGAATCTATGCTCATTATTTTAGGACTTAAGGTTCTTCAAGAGCCAATTGCTTTGGCTTTTTTTAAAGCAAGTTATATTTAGAGAACACAAGAGGAGTCTTTTCTCTCATGAAACCGGTGTGGGTGGGTTTCTCTGAGGACAAGATTAGACATGCTTTATCAACATTAGAATGATGACATATGAAATCATAGTTTAAGTCAAAGACAAAGAATATCTGTTTTGTTAAATGTATCATTTTGATTATGTTGGGAATATCCTATCGCTTATTTCAGCATTTGTTTATTTCCTTCTTTGTGCAGAACTCACAGCTCATGAAGAAAATAAAATGCAGAACTTGTTTTGTTTGAGAGAATCACTGATAACACCATGTAGTTGGAAATATTGCTGATGGTTATAAAGATGAAGCAACATCAGATTCCTGTAACACTCCAACATCTGGATATGTTCACTCTGTGCTTTAATAAAGAGACCTGACTTTACTCTGAGGGCCAGTTGTTATTTATTGTATTCTGGAAGTGGTGTCTCATCCACTATATTCTGACTAACGGGGTCAAATCCATAGTTTTCTTGTTATTGACTTTATATCAATTGCATTCTGGTGAATTGTATATATAGTTGCAAGAAAAAGTATGTGAACCCTTTGGATTCTCCACACATAGCATTGTGTGTTCCTTCCAAACAACTCAATTTTGGTTTCATCTGTGTTACGGTGTGCAGGAAGCAGGACCCAAATGCAGATTTAAGTGACAAAATAAATCCTTTATTTCAAGGCTACAATATTCAGAGACAGAACAGAACACTCACCGCAGTTTACTCACAACACAAGATGAACCGACACTGAACACAGGAAGAGACAAGACTAAATACAGGAAGGGTTAATCACAATACGAGACACAGCCGGGCAGGGGAGGAGAAACACAAGGGCCACAGGTGAAAACAATCAGACAACTAGACACACCAGGGAAACTAACGACGGGAGGAAAAACACAGGAAGAAGGACCAGACAATATACAAGGATGAAAATACCCATAACCAGACATACAAAACTACAACACAGACAGATCCTAACAGTACCTCCCCCTCAAGGGACGGATCCCAGACGTCCCAAAACAAAACCACCAAAAGTCCAAAACTACAAGCAGGGTGGGCGGAGGGGGTCCGGAGGAGGGACGCACCACCAGGCCACCAGGGCGGGCGGAGGGGGACCGGAGGAGGGACACAAAACCAGGGCCAACAGGGTGGGTGGAGGGGGTCTGGAGGACGGGCTTGGGCTGACAGCCCAGGGGCAAGGCAGAGCTTGAAAAGGGGGTTATGGAGGGGCGAAGGCAGTGGCAGGAAGAGTCAGGGGGCCGGGCCCGAGGGCGAAGACCGCGGCTCTCAGGGGGCCGGGCTCGAGGGCGAAGACCGCGGCTCTCAGGAGGCCGGGCAGAACCTGGTGTCGGCCGGACAGATACCGGCGCTGGTGGGACAGGCCTCGGCAGGATCCCCCACGGAAGAGGACCAGGAGTTGGCAGGACCCCCGCCAGGAAGGCAGTCGGCGGAACCCCCAACGGGACAGGACACAGGGTTGACAGGACCCCCGGCAGAAGGGCAGTCGGCGGGACCCCCAACGGGACAGTACACATGGTTGGCAGGACCCCCGGCAGGAGAGAAGTTCGCGGGACCTCCAACAGGACAGGACACAGGGTCGGCGGGACCCCCAACGGGACAGCACACAGGGCTGGCAGGACCCCCGGCAGGAGAGTAATTCGCGGGACCTCCAACAGGACAGGACACAGGGTTGGCAGGAACCCCGGCAGAAGGGCAGTCGGCGGGACCCCCGACGGGACAGCACACAGGGCTGGCAGGACCCCCGGCAGGAGAGTAGTTCGCGGGACCTCCAACGGGACTGGACATGGAGCCGGAAGGACCCCCAGCGGAACCTCCATCGGCATAGGACATGGGATTGGCAGGACCCCCGGCAGGAGAGTAGACGGCGGGACCCCCAACGGGACAGGACATGGGATTGGCAGGACCCCCGGCAGGAGAGTAGACGGCGGGACCTCCAACGAGACAGACATGGAGTTGGCAGGACCCCCCGCAGAACCTCCAACGGACCAGGACATTGGGTAGGGACTTGAGACGTGACTCAAGTAGGGACTCGAGAGGAGACTCGAGAGGAGACTCGAGAGGGGAACCAAGGGGGAACTCAAGAGGGGAACCAAGGGGGAACTCAAGAGGGGACTCGAGAGGAGACTCGAGAGGAGACTCGAGAGGGGAACTAGAGAGGGGACTCCAGAGGGGACTAGAGGAGAGACTAGAGGAGGGACTAGAGGAGGAACTAGAGGAGGAACTAGAGGAGGAACTAGAGAAGGGAACTCGAGAGGGGACTTGAGAGGGGAACTAGAGAGGGGACTCGAGGAGGGACTAGAGGAGGGAAATCGAGAGGGGACTGGAGAGGGGACTCCAGAGGGGACTAGAGGAGAGACTAGAGGAGGGACTAGAGGAGGGACTAGCGGAGGGACTAGAGAAGGGAATTCGAGAGGGGACTCGAGAGGGGAACTAGAGAGGGGACTCGAGGAGGGACAAAATGAGGGACTAGAGGAGGGACTAAAGGAGGGACTAGAGGAGGGAACTCGAGAGGGGACTCGATAGGGGACTCGAGAGGGGACTGGAGAGGGGACTCCAGAGGGGACTAGAGGAGAGACTAGAGGAGGGACTAGAGGAGGGAAATCGAGAGGGGACTGGAGAGGGGACTCCAGAGGGGACTAGAGGAGAGACTAGAGGAGGGACTAGAGGAGGGACTAGAGGAGGGACTAGCGGAGGGACTAGAGAAGGGAATTCGAGAGGGGACTCGAGAGGGGAACTAGAGAGGGGACTCGAGGAGGGACAAAATGAGGGACTAGAGGAGGGACTAAAGGAGGGACTAGAGGAGGGAACTCGAGAGGGGACTCGATAGGGGACTCGAGAGGGGACTCCAGAGGGGACTCCAGAGGGGACTAGAGGAGAGACTAGAGGAGGGGCTAGAGGAGGGACTCAAGAGGGGACTCGAGGGGGAACTGGAGAGGGGAGTGTGGCGGCTGGGGCCGGGACTGGGGCCGGGACCATGGCTGCTCGGGCCAGAACCGGGGCTGAAACCATGGCTGCTGGGGACTGTACTAGGTCTGGAACCATGGCCGGAAATATGGCTGTATGATCCAGTTCTGAAGCCGGAAACATGGCTGTATGGGCCGGCTCTGGAGCCGGAATTGAAGCCAGAATCATGGCTGTAAGGTCCGGTTCTGAAGCCGGAAACATGGCTGTAAGGTCCGGTTCTGAAGCCGGAAACATGACTGTAAGATCCCGTTCTGAAGCCGGAAACATGGCTGTATGGGCCGGCTCTGGAGCCGGAAACCTGGCTGCTAGGACCGGTACCTGAGTACGAGCTGGCTTCCTGACCTTGCGTGTTTTAGAAGTCTTTTGGAGGCTCCGTGGACCTCCAAACGCCAGGCGGGATCCCAAGAAAGGGTCAGAGAATGGAGACTGGCACTCAGGGCTGCGTGAGAAAACTCTGAGAAACTCAGGCAATGAGCCTCTCAACCATGGCATGTTGTCCACCTCCATTTGTGCCTTTTTGAGGACAGCCTCTTTGTCCCTTTTAGCCAAGGTTCTACTCCATACAGCATAATGACACTGAAGAGTGTACTCTAGGGATAACAAGTCCAAATCAAAAATCAAATCAAAATCAAAAATCCGCTGGGTCCATGGTTGGTCGGTTCGTAATGTTACAGTGTGCAGGAAGCAGGACCCAAATGCAGATTTAAGTGACAAAATAATTCCTTTATTTCAAGGCTACAATATTCAGAGACAGAACAGAACACTCACCGCAGTTTACTGACAACACAAGACGAACTGACACTGAACACAGGAAGAGACAAGACTAAATACAGGAAGGGGTAATCACAAGACGAGACACAGCCGGGCAGGGGAGGAGAAACACAAGGGCCACAGGTGAAAACAATCAGACAACTAGACACACCAGGGAAACTAACGACGGGAGGAAAAACACAGGAAGAAGGACCAGACAATATACAAGGATGAAAATACCCATAACCAGACATACAAAACTACAACACAGACAGATCCTAACAATCTGTCCACAGAATATAATAATAATAATAAATTATATTTATATAGCGCCTTTCAAGGGACCCAAGGTCGCTGTACATGGTGGACAAACAAAACAAACAGACAATCAACGGACAAACCAAAGAAATAAATAAAGGAAGCCAGGGGACCAGAAAAGGGCTAGGGCCCGAAGGCCAGGGTGAACAGGTGTGTTTTTAGTGATGATTTGAAGATGTCCAGGGAGGCAGCATTACGGATCTCGGCAGGAAGTGCATTCCAGAGGGTGGGGGCCGCAACACTGAATGCCCTGTCACCAACAGTTCGGAGGCGAGAGCGGGGGATGGAGAGCAGGCCCGTGTCTGAGGACCGCAGACTCCGAGAAGGGGTGTAGGGATGGAGGAGGTCCGATAAGTACTGGGGAGCGAGGGTATGGAGGGACTTGTACGTGAGGATGAGTGTTTTGTATTGAATCCGGGACCAGCCAATGTAGGTGGATGAGGGTGGGGGTGATATGGTGCCATGGCTTGGTGTGGGTGAGAAGCCTGGCGGCAGAGTTCTGGACATATTGGAGCCTATCCAGGGTTTTGCTGGGAACCCCGGACAGGACTCCATTGCAATAGTCCAGACGGGATGTAATGAAGGCGTGTACCAGGGTTTCTGCCACAGAGTCAGAGAGAGAAGGCCGGATTCTGGCAATGTTTTTTAGGTGGTAGAAGGCGGATTTGGTGACAGCTTTGACATGCGCCTGGAAAGAGAGGGTGGTGTCCAGGATGACTCCCAGGTTGCGGACTTCAGTGGACGGGGAGATAGAGCAGCCGTCAATGGAGAGAAGCAGGTCTCCAACCTTCTGGAGCTGCATCTTGGGAGCCAGATATGTTGCCAGTAGTGCT